GAAGGGAGGGGGGAGGGAGGGAGTGAGGGAGGAGGGAGGGAGGGAGGGAGGGAGGGAGTGCAGGCAAAGGCAGCAGCAATTCTAAAGAAATGTGGCAGAAACTTGGCTCATTTACAGGAAAAGGCCGTCAAAGCAGCATCAACATTTCCAGAATGTTACCAGGGCCATCATCACCTCCGCAAGCGGTGGTCCTTGTTTTGTAACAGTGATTATGGATTTCCCTACCTTCCTGTTCATGCCAGGTGAAAACTGAATAGGCTAGAGTCTGATAAGACACTGCTCTTACTGAAAATTCAAAAAAGACTGGGTCACGTAGCAATTCAAAAGACCTGATACAGTACGACAACACAAGAAGTGGAGTTCATGAACCACGCATTGTCAACGACAAATCCCAAAGGAGCACTAACCTTTTCCAGAAATGCCCCCTCATGAGACCACAGTGCAATTCATCTTGTCAACAATTGGCATGTCAACTCAATCATCGTGAAGTGCAAAGCTGCAGGATGTCCTGTTTTGCCTGGCTCTCCAGCTGCCAAAAATTTTGCTGAAATCAACAGAAAACAACAGTATCATGCAAAATGGGCTAAGAGTATGCATTACAAAATTCTGTTTCATTGCTATTTTATTCTGCCCAATCATCCACTGAAATGCCTTGAATCTGTAAGTGTAGGGCCAAACGATATCACTTGTACAACTCCTTCTTGTACAAGAAGGGGCAACTTGAACCAAAGTCATTAAACCCTCCAGCTGTAGTTTGGCAACTGATATGGAGTGAGCACAATTACAGCATAGCTTTAATGTCAAGTGACTTACCAGAACAACACACGAGTGTTACCCAGTAAGGTTAAGAGCTATTACAGCTATCAAATGCATGTAGTTCAAACTAAATCTTATATGTTAAAGTAGACAAGCCTTGTATGAGCCATGGCCCAAGCACAGGTGCTGTGCGTGGCACACTGTTCTTACCACCAAGTAAGAGATGCTTATATTTCACGCACAAGGAGTTGTGGCATACGTAATTGACATCATAGTCCTTGGGAAGCTCCAGGCTCTCAGTGTTACAATGTAAACCAACCTGTATGTGCACACACATCCGTGCAAGAATTTGAGCCAGGCATGGCAACATGCAGGATGCCATACTTCCTCTGTGCATAGCCTTTCCACAGCTTGCACATTTTCCCCTCAGTCTGCACTTCTACTTTTCTTAAATTTTTCCCTTTAACTGAAGCTTTCCAAAGGGAATCCATTTTCACCATTAATTCCCGCGCACGAGGTCAACCTGAACTTGCCTGTTCTGCCATTGGATAAAAGTCTTATCAAGGTTATCTTTTCTTCAAAGAGATCCACGGGCCAAGTATAGCAGTTCAAAACCAAGAGACTGAGTTTTTATACATTTGACTGTCGTTATTAGAATAAACTAGATGTAATTAATGTTACCTTTGGACAGATTAGTACAGCCACACTCGCTGCATGTGCAGATAGCTGGCATGGCAGCTGCTTAATTTACATGGACGTAGACATGGTAGAGAAACAGCAAGAGCCCTGAGTGAGAGAGAGGGCGTAACAATACATAATAAGCCCACAGATGAGCCAAAACTACCGGATAATATAGTGTGATTTCTGTTATCATTACTGTGTCTGTGTGAGATTTCTGAACTAAAGCATACCGACTTCCCACGACCAAATCACTGACCAAGGATAAGAACGCTAGGCGCCGCCATCTTGTCTGGACAGGTTGCACGTGCACGACACCAACAAGTCCGCGCCCATATAGGGGTGTACCCTCGCAAAAAGGCTCAAATATGTCCGCCGAGCTCATTAATAAAGGTTCAAAATATTCTATATTAGAGAGTCCCGAGAACCATGAAATTGAGGAATTGGAGAAATATGGCACTGAACCTCTGGCCCGGACTTTGGGCTTCCAATTTTGAGCAATTTGGGTGCAGTCGGGTCCGAAAGTGGCACTATTTGGCTGTTTTGCAGAGGGATGTTTTTCAAAATGGCTAATTTTCTGGGCAGGGACATTTTCTTCATTTTAGGGGTGGTCTGCTTCTGGTGAAAATTTCTCAAAAATTCATCGGTCAACCCCCCGAAAATTGAAAGGAAAATGAAAGGGGACATGTCGATCATCGTGTTTCTGTGCAGCCTAG